GACTATTTTTACAAAATACTGTTTTTATTAAGGAATTCATTCCCAAACCTCATTGATCCGTATGTCAAAATGTATGTTTTAGTATGTGAGGAATCCGATTTTGGCATTTTCAAACTTTCGAAAATGTACCGTTTAGGCTGTAGACGGAAAAATGCGGACAAACTAAACTATTTATTAACGAAAATTTTTTTGTCTTGAAATTTAAAGACAATGGTCTCAAACTCTACACCGAATAATGCTAATTCATAATGGTTATTATATCTATGATCGATAATGTAGCCATGTTGCTTTGAAATGGCGACCATACAAATGTATGCATTTTAAGCCAAGTTTGAATGGAGATGAGTGTGGGATGAGTGGAGCGATCTTGTTGTCCTGTTTGTGACTAAGGCCGACATAATCCTTAGACACAGCTGTTAATTAATAGTGCATGCAGTCAATTAATAGCAACAGAGGTCAAGTTTGGTATCAAATTAAAGGTTTTATTCATAAAAATACATTACCGCAAACCCAAACTCAAACGATGATTATGATAAAAACGTTAATGATGTCGCTAAACGTATCGTTTGAAATTTAACAGCTGAAAATAAGTGAAATAGAAAAGGTTTTGGTTAAATCCATCAAATTGTAATTGGACACTAGTAAGTACTAGTGCACTTGTTGCTACCTCCCCCCTTCGGTTTCATGTATTCCTCTCAATCAGTTCAAACCTAGGAGGATTAAACATTAATGTTAATTAATGTTAAATCCTCCTAGATTCAAACCTGAAACACCCAGATCAAAACTCGCCTGTCGTTATTTTAACATCGCCTTATTTTTTTACTATATTTTTCAAAAAAGAAAGATTATATTGATTTACTTTGGATTTTAAAAATGTGAACGTTTTATTTTTTTAAGATTTATGGTGATACGTTAATATTGTGGTGTAGTAAAGTATATTATATTGTAGTTAAGTGTTACATTTTTAAATTTTAGCGTGAATCAAGATGAATCTTTTTTTATAACATTGGTTCCCTCCTACCTTAACATACATACCTAGTTTCATAAACATCGGTTGGAAAAGTGTAAAGATAAATATTTGTATGTAAAAAATAAAAAATGGTGGATATCTGGTTAATGAAACGATTTTGGAAAAATGTTATCCTTGATTTTCTGTTTATTTTGACCCAAGGAATTACTAGGTAAAGTATCTCCCCGCTTATTTTTAACACCCTTTTTATGATGTATTCTTATAAGTGAAAAATGTAAGCTGGTAATACAGAAAGATGTTTTATAAATAATATGAATGTACTGGTGATCTTTATATTCATCTTTTTCTTATCCTTAGAATTGTAAATTAAAAGTCCACTCAGCAGTCGCATCGTACGATGTAGTTCTTTCCATGCGTTGCGAAATGCTAAATTTGCCGTCCTCTTCAACCCAAATTATCTATTTAACCACTGATTGTAAAAAAATCAAAAAAATATATTTTACGCATCACACTTTTGGCTACAACTTTGCCACAGACAAAACCTCTCTAACCCAAAAACAAAAAAAGTCTCGCATGCTAACTTTTTCATGTTAGAACTCATGATTTACAACTATTTCACCATACATATCAATTTTTATTAATTAGATCGGTAAATAGTTTAAAGTTCCAACAAAATAGTCATCGAGTAGGACTAACCAAGAAGCTCTGTGCCAATTTTCAAAATTTTAGCACAACTTAAAGTGCACCAAAACACGAAATTATTGAAGTCATGCGTCGAGAGGACTATCGTTGTTTTTAACAGATTATACTTTTGACCTTCCGGCACTGTTGACTCAGCGAAACTGAACTTATATTTTATCTTATTTCGTTATATTAAAACTGATGTTGCATTTGGTCAAATTCCCAATAACTCAATTGCTTTAACATAGACTACGTTTTTAGCACTGACTGTATTATTTGACTTACTGGGATTTTTGATCTACAGACACTGCAAACATTGTAGTTTTTGACCTAGCGGCACAGGTATAAATTATTTGACCTTCCGGGACTGTTGACTTTCTGTAACGCGTCCTCCACTCCTATTCTAGTGCCATTTAATGGTGAATTGCCTATAGTGGTTGTAGCTGATGCTTCATCAGTGGGGATTGGTTGTGCAATTTTTCATCGATATCCTAACGGAGAAGAGAAGCCGATCGCGTATGCTTCTAAAACACTGAACAAGGCAGAGCAAAATTATTCGCAAATTGAACGAGAAGCTTTATCTTTGATTTATGCGATTAAAAAGTTCCGCATCTACCTTTGGGACACGCATTTTCTGAACCAAACAGACCACAGACCTCCATTGTCTATATTCGGATCCAACAAAGGAGTACCAGTAACCACGTCTTGCAGAATACAAAGGTGGGCTTTGTTTTTAACAAATTTTCATTTTGACATAGAGTATGTTTCTACTAAACTATTTGGGAAAGTTGACTGTTTAAGTTGTTTGCCTTTCGAGGAAGATGTCGAGTTTGACCAAGCTAAAGAGGGTTATAGCAACCATAGTTGAATTAATATTCTCAGGTAACATAGATTGTCTACCAGTTACGGCTAAAGAAATAAGTGAAGAAACATCGAATGATGTCACTCTTAGTCGGGTCAAAGAGTTTGTATTAAGTGGATGGCCAAACAAGACAAACAATCTGGAGTTAAAACCATATGAGTCAAGGAAGAACAAGATATCCATACACGAGTGCTGCCTAATGTGGGGGGTTAGAGCAATTGTCCCAGAAAAGTTCTTATGAACCTGCACGACACTCATTTAGGAATGGTAAAGATGAAGGCTTTGGCCCGAGATCGTTTTTGGTAGCCATCGATGGACAATGACATCGAAAACGTGGCAAGAACTTGTGCACTATGCAACTTGTATGCTGCAAGAGAACCACAGAGAAGGTCCCTCAGTAATTGGCCGAGACGCTCTGACCCTTGGACCTGTATACACTTGGACTTCGCTGGACCTTTCCCTAATAGTGTTTTTCTTTTGGTCGTAGATGCATACTCCGGTTAGCCAGAAATTATCAAGTTGAACTCTACGTATGACGACTTCAGTAACAGTCAAACAAATTAAGCTGTTGATATGCCGATATACTTACTTACTTACTCCCAGGGCCATTTATATCGGAGGTGATATTTGGCCGCACCAACAAATCTTCGCCAAGTTAACCGGTCTTTCGCATCATCCTCCGTTGCCCCAATTCTCTCCAAATCTTCTTGCACTTGCTTCCACCACCTCTGCTTAGGTCTTCCCCGGGGTCGTCTTCCTGTAGTGTTTCCCTTTAAAACTCTTCCCAGTCTACAATCTTCATCTCTTCTTAATATGTGACCAGCCCATCTGATTCTTCGGCACTTGATTTCTCCAATTACATCTGTGCTATTATACAGTTGCCTTAATTCCCTATTGTGTCTTATTCTCCATTCTCCTAGCTCGAATATTGGTCCAAAAATCTTCCTTAAAATTTTATTTTTGAATACTATTAGTTTCTTTTCATCTCTTTTATTTAATTTCCAGGTTTCTGATCCATATAGGAGAACTGGGCAAATTATTGTTTTGTACAGCCTGATTTTTGTTTTCCGGGACAAAGATTTTGATGAAAGTAATTTATTGCAAGCATGAAAACATTTATTTGCTGAATTTATTCGGCTTTGGATTTCTAGTTCATCAGTATTTTGGTTGGATATAATTACTCCTAGGTATTTAAAACTGTTGACTTTTTCAAATGTATGGCCATCAATTTCTATTGGTTCTTCAGTATTATCCAGGTATCTTGAAAAGTGCATGTACTTAGTTTTTGAATCGTTTGTTTTTAGGCCTACTTTTTCTGTTTCTTTCATAAATACTTCGGTTAAGGCCTTCAGATCTTCTAGTTTTTCTGTGATTATAACCACATCATCTGCAAAGGCTAAGATGTTTATTTTGGTTCCTATTTTCACTCCTATGTTCTTCTCTGCTACCTTCTGTAGAGCTTCTTCAATGGCAAAATTAAATAGGATCGGTGATAGCCCATCTCCTTGTCTGACACCAGACTTTACTTCAAAGGTGTTACAGTTGTGGCCATCAATTCTAACTGAACATTTAGATCCTGAAATACTCATTTTAATTAAGGCTATAATTTTATTCGGTATGCCGAATTTTCTTAGCTGTGTCCACAATTTGTCCCTTCTTATGCTGTCGTAAGCCTTCTGAAAGTCGATAAATAAGGCATAAAATTCTTTATTGAACTCCCAATAATTGGCTACTATTTCTTTTAAGATAAATATTTGGTCAGTTGTCGATCTACTCTTCATAAACCCCGCTTGATGCTCACCTATCAACTCGTGTGAGTATTGTTCTAGACGGTTTAAAATAATTTTTGAGATAACTTTATATGGGATACTAAGCAGTGAGATTCCCCTATAGTTATCACAAACTTCTTTCTCACCCTTTTTATGAATAGGGATAATGACTGCTTCCTGCCACTCCATTGGCATTTCTTCTTGTTCCCATATTTTTGTAATTAAATTCCACAGCTTTTCCACTATTATGTTTCCTCCTCTCTTTATTATGCCGATATGGAATCCCAAAAACCATCGGGACAGACAACGGACCCTGTTTTATGTCCGTAGAATTTGCACAGTTTTGGAAAGCATTTGGAATCGACCACGTTACCACTCCACTTCACCTTCTCATAAAACAAAAGAGAAAGAGAATAAAGATAGCCTTAAAAACTTAAAAATAAATGAGCCTATGTTTTGGGCAGAAACCAGAAACGGAAATGTTGTGTGGAAACCCGGCGTAATCTTGAAGAGACTAGGGCGAAACGTGTGGAAAGTTGAAGGTAACAATGGAAGAATCTTTAAAAAACACACCCCAAAAAAAAGTATTAAGTATTTTTTACCCAACCAGAAGTGGAAGAAGAGTCTGGCCCGCAGACCCCTAGAAAGAAAGAAGGATCCTTGAGTGTTTATGTGACCTCTACCAAGTTAAAAACAAATGATTGATTCTCTGACACAGGTGCTACGTGGTACGGATTGATCCGCAGCGCATTGGCCTTGGCTGGTCTTGTGCTGTTCCTTCCCCTGGCCGGTCTGGCTACAGTGTTACTCCCCCTGGCTGCTGCTAGCAAGGTACTCGTGGAGTCTCATGAACTATTGAGGCTGAAGACTGCTTCATTTCTAGCTCTGGTCCCGCTGTTACTTTCACTGTATGTGGGTAGACTCAAGATTCTGTACACCCGTGCAGCAACTTTCTTCTCATGGCTTCAGGTACTCAAGTTTGAAATTATAGTTTAAGCTATTTGATGAGAACAAGTCCATTTAAAAATGTACTTGTACCCATGCCCATGCATTGTACCTATGCCATGCCCATAGTTATCAGTGATTTTAAATGTCGTTATGAGTTGCTTTGTTCCAATAAGGTTTTGTTAAAAAAACCTGTCTAGGTGAATTAAGTAGGCCTATGCAGTTTCAGCTCAACTTATGTACAATCATAACATTTTAAGGTAGTGGTAGTGCTTGACACCTCTGATGATTGCTATCCGCATCGTAGCTGAAACGTTAGCTCTTTCTGTAGTCATAAGTTTATGTTGTTATAAAACTTATTATACTCATGTTAAGTAGTTTTAGGTAAAATATTATTTATTATTTATTATTTTTTAGGCCTATTATAGGCTACCAATTTCGTTAGGCCTACTGATTTTCTCCACTCGACTATTTTATGTTTCAATTTTTATTTTCTCTCATGTTGAATAGTTTTTAAGTTTGTTGATTCAAGCTTTGTTCCTGTTTAGGAAGGAAAATCTAATAACATGGCTCACTCAACATGATGCATTACGAAGACACAAGTTAAAATTAAGAAACGCTACGCACAAGCCTATTATAAGGCTTAAGTAGCTTAGTGTTAAAATGCCCTTTGCCTTTGTATTGAATAAATAAATAAATGTTTGTGACACAGTCAGTCCTTAAAGACCAAGTTTGTAGTGTAACTGTTTATAATTTCTAAGAAGCCATTTCCCATTGTTAATAAAAATGTAAATGTAGTTTATCCATTTTCCCAGGCTATTTTTAAGTCGATATACCAGTTCACTAAAACTGTTGTAAATTTTTATTTGCAGTTATTGTTGTCAGCCAATGTGGTTGTGTTTTTGGTGGTAGCATTGCACAATCTCTAATTGCACCAGTTTGTATTTGTAGGTGATGTTGTCAGCCATTGCTGTTGTGTTGTTGGTGTGGCCAGCTCTGCAAGGGGAGGATGGTGGAGAAGCTGGTAGCATTGCATCATCTCTCTCGTGGGATCAGTTTCAAACTTTCTGTCCGAATGTTGATGTCGAAACACAGACAGCTCTCAATGCTCACCTACAATGTTCACAGGTAGAACTCGGTCACAACCACAATTCATTAAGGCCAGGCGCACACAGGCGATTTTGAGTCTAGCAACTGTTGCCCGACTAAAATTTTCACCTTTGTTTTAAATTGGAGTGCGCACACCAAGGAAACAGTCTAGGGACAGTCCCGCAACTGTTGCAACCGATGTTCCCGGACCCAATTTGCCAGAGACAGCTCTGCGACTCAATTGTCGCGGGACTGTCGCTCCAGGTTTAGTATCCATTTAAACAAGTGTAGAAGCGCACACATGCGACTAAATTGTCGCTGTGTTGCTCAGTCTCACCCCAGGAATTCAGCTACTCGTGGTCAGAACTGTCACTTTCTCTCTTTTTGTTGTGCGAAGTTTTTAGAAAATGACTTAAATATGAGTGTCCGTGATGAGGATGTCAAACAATTAATTGACGAAGTTCAGAAGAGGCCACCTTTATATTTAAAGTCATTGAAAGGCTATTCGGATATTAATTTGAAGAAGAAGTTGTGGGATCAAGTTTCCTTGGCAGTTACTAAAGATTGGAACAACCTAACATAAGAGGATAAAATCAAAGATCGCAACTTCAACAACAAAGCACATACTACGGTTGTATCATTGAACCCCATTCGGTACTGTTAACGCTGTTGACGAATGTAATGTCCAACTTACGTCTTAAGACTTTAGATTCACGACTAAAAAGTTGCCTGTGTGCGCACTCCAGCTCAACTGTCGCTAGACTTCAGAGTCTCCAAGTGGGTTGCGCAACAGTCCCCCATTAGCTGGGCAACTGTTGTTAGACTCAAAATCGCCTGTGTGCGCCTGGCCTAACTTGCTGCATCTAGATATACTTCTTTTAATAAATGTTTGACTTATTTTTCCTATTTTAAGGACCAGTGTTTCCAAAAATGCCTAATTTTGTTTGGTTGTACCAAAATCTTTTTTTTGAAATCACAAATGGCTGTATTTTTTTTTCAATGGATATCACGTAGCTTTCCTAGTAATAAATTAAGATCTCAATAGAGAAATAGAGGTATAACACTGAAATGTTACATTTTTAGTCAAAAACCTAATTTAACAAGAATACTTAGCAGAAACATTTGTAGAAATTGTTTTGTAACTTTTTGTGTACTTTTCAAAGTCTGAATCCTAAAATCTGTGTTTTTAAAAATTACATGGTCTATCAAAATAATGGCAAGAGTCAGGCAATGATAGCCTGGTGCAAGTACATTTGAGTTTGGCTAATCCTAATACTAACTAATTGGGACCTGGGACCGAACGCTGTTCGGTTGTTGGACAGCTGATTGTTCAGATTTTGTAGGTACCTTAAGTGATTATACAGCGTAATTGGGGGAGGGATAATAGAAAACCATCTTTAATCCAACATTAATGCAAACCTGCAATGTTAGCACAGGTTATTTAAATTGTAATAAAACAAGTGTAATTTTATACTGACAACTGTTTCATTTAATACTAGCTGTTGTACCCGTTCCTTGCAATGGGAAGAGGACGCAAAATAGAAACATTTTAATCTTTACATCTGTTGCATATAATAGTTACACATCCGCCAACGCTTTTAGAAACAAAATTCAACTTTTATGGCCTTAATAGAAACGTTTAAGTTATGACTTTTAAATCTGGTAAGTAGTGGATACCACCATTTTGGTTTTGATTCATTGCGACGCGATGTTCTGCACTGGAAAAATATTACAAGTAAGTGCAGTAGTCGCAACCGTTTACCGGGGATAGCTCAGCCTACAATGGCTGGGTAAAGTTCCAGGGTCTGCGATAAGGTCAGGGAAACCACTAGGCCAAAAGCCGGGTCTAACCGGTATAGGACTGGCTCATACACGGGCACTGTGAACAAGTCAAAAACAAGTCACCAAAACAAACGTGCAATAATCACTACCAGGCCTACGCCGATTCTCCACTCTCCTAGGGGGTCGTTGCTGACTACGCAACTCGGGCTTCGTCCTAACTATCCAATAGTTAAGCCCAGAGTGCCTAAAACACGGTGAGTTACACGACGACTTGCCAATAAAAACCACAACGCGTGTTATCACCAGGCGGGGTCTACTAGGCAACTATAATCCAATACACAACTCTAGTGCCCAAGCTAAGAATCAAACAGTTCACTCAATAATCGTACCCCATAATAATATACAAGTACACTATAGGTAGAGTGACTACACCACTAGTAGCTGGTCTCAATAAATACCAAGCCAAACAAGCAAAATTAAATGGCAATTGCACTATTAAAATATTGAGCTACTTAGTAGCAGATAAATAAATATTAAATACGTTCCAAACACTAGATAAATATATTATCTGTTAGCCGGTACTCCGCTACCCAAGCTACCGAGATAACGTGTTGGACTACCAAACAAGCTGTTCAGGTTAAATTAAAATAATCAAATGAATAAACAATAACAACCCTACTACTGCTACTGCTACTACCAACTTTATGTTACTTAGCTGGGCTTCTGTTAATAGGCTAATAATATTAGCTACTAGCCTACTGGCCACGTGTTTCCAACTACGCACGCTAAATCGTGCAGCCTAGGTTTGTCGGGCCTCACAGTTATTAGTAATATAACTAACTCTAGGTACAACGCAAAATAATATCTACTACAGCCAATTAAATATATTATTTGCGCTTTAGCACCTGCCCAGAACCGTCAGGAATATACTTTAATATTATTCCTGACTAATAAATAAATCCTAACTATCGTCAGGCTTTGACTAGCACGGTTACAACTCAAACAAAGAAATCAGAGATGAATGTTTTAGTAACAACTATCAGCTCTTAAACCAAAATGTAAGGAACGTCGTCCACTCACCAATAGTGGGTCTGTACCCAACTTACACCAACACTCGGCGAGATCACACCACCAGCATACTCCGACACCACTGTCACGTACACCACTGGACGTCTCACTAGACACACGCTCGCTCTTCACTGCACGGGATCCACGACTAGAATCTCCTTCTCGGCTATCCAGTAGTCCCAGGATACCCAAGCTTATCCGAACTGATAAGCCGGGTCAAAGGGCGCTAGCCAGGTTCGACGCCGCCGCTTGCGTACCTCAACAATCGCACAGCCAAATAACGAAAATATACCCCCCTAGGAAAAATAACTCGTTACATCATTTTAAATCTAGTAGGTTGATATGAGAAAACTGACCAAATCTTTGAACAAAACTTTCACATAACTTACTTGATTTACCTTCATCTCCCTTGATTAGGGGAGAGTGGGGATCCTTGAGACAAGCTTTTTATATAAATGTTATTTTTTTTCCTAAATGACTTGAAGGGCTAGATTATGTACTATTATTAAGCTTAAGTATATACCTTTCTCTTCCATTGAATTTCAAAGATCTATACTAAGTCATAAAAAAAAAATAATAATTTTTAATTTTTGTAAATTTCTCAATGTGCCCCACCTATGGGGTACGTTGAGACAGGTGGTGGGGATGGTTGGGGATGGTGGGGATGGTTGGTTTGGTTTTTCCTTTATCATTTGAAGGAGACGGCAAGATCATAACTATATCTTTGATTGCTACACTGCCAATGTCGTCAAAATTTGGGAAAAAGAATGAGTTTTTCATTTTAGAAGATTTTCTTAAAAATTTAAAACCGAAGTCTCCATTTTCAGTTTTTGTAAGAACTGTTCCTGCATAGAAAACATCTTTTCTGTCCAGAACAAACTTAACAAGCACAAAATCTTCTAGGTCAACCTGCTCTACATCGAAGTTTGTTTGTCTCAACCTTCCCCGCCTACTTTTGTCTCAACCTTCCCCACTCTGCATTTGTAAACAACGCCGCCATTACTACTAAAACGAATAGAAATTGGTGAATAAAAACACAGCCAATTATACACTGTTACATGGCCTGTTCAACAATACAAATCTTAACAAATTTGAACTACAAGTAAACTAACAGTATTAACTTACCCAACGACTCAAGTATTTACTTTTGATGTTCACAAATACGTTTAACTCACTAACTCAGACACAACCATTCAGAGAGATACCTACAATATGCAGACTGAGGTTATAGGAGAAAGAAAACAACAGTTTGAGCTCAGTGTTTCCAACTGGCAACATTAAATTACCCTAAATTTATCTTTGTCTCAACGTGCCCCTTGTCTCAAGGATCCCCACTCTCCCATATCTTTTTTCTTTATTTTTTACATTTAAAATTCAAATTTTTTAGCGAATTGCCTTATAGGGAAGTAGCTATTGGAGCTATCGGTAGGTGGCTAGAACCACCACTCCAAAACAATTATGACAAAAATATGCCTAGCTTATTAAATATATAGATAGTAATAGAAGATAGATAAAAAAACTAATAAGATATCAAAATATAAACACACATTTGTTTGAAAAGGAAAAGTGATATAACTTATGTATTTACTAAATGTGTAAAATGTACGTATATTTGTAACTCATACAAACAACAAATAGAAAGTTCTCTTTTATTCTTCTTTGATTTTTTTCACTTAGTGGTATTTTTTTTCTATCTTAACTTTACTTTTGGAACCTTCAACACACATCTTTGTCAAATTTATCAGTTTGTCGGGAATTCCAATTTTCTGCATTGTTTCCCAGAGTTTGGGTCTTTTTATGGTATCATAAGCTTTTACAAAGTCAATGAACAGGATATAACATTCTTTATTATATTCCCAATACTTTGATATTATCTCTCTAATCACAAAAATTTGATCCGTTGTTGAGCGTCCGCTGATGAAACCAGCTTGATGGTCTTCAATGAATTCTTCTGCATACGGTTTTATTCTGTTCAATAAAATCTTAGACAATATTTTGTAAGTTGAGTTAAGTAGGGATATTCCTCTAAAATTGCTACAAGTTTCTTTGTCTCCTTTTTTGTGGATCGGGATTATTACAGATTCACTCCATTCTATGGGCATTTCTTCTTCGTTCCATATTCGCTGAATCAGTTTATGAATTTCTCTAGTCGCATTCTTACCACATTGTTTCATAACTTCTATTGCTAT